AGCTAAAGTGGTGACAATTAGTTTCTGTCTAGGAGGTCACCATCAGTTGACAGCAATTGGGATGGGGAAGTTCAGTTGCAGCTGGAACAGTCCATGTGACCATGGTCTGAGAAGTGAGGTATCAAAAGTTGTTTGTCTCATTTGGCTACATGAACAGGCACTATTTGTGATTCTTGCTCAATGTGCACAAGCCTTTATTTGGCCTCCCAGTAATAAAACCTTTTGACTTCAGTGGAGTTTCTCAAGATTTAGAAGTGAGATCAGGATAATCAGGCAGCAAATCAATAAGTTTACGAAGCTTAATAGAAAAGGTCCTTTATCTAGACACTTTAAGTCCTTTTCCAGTGAAAGCCTATTAAAATGACAGTAACATTACGGGTATGGGAAATCACTTGTGCATATAAGCTGAGGAATTTAAGCATATGGTGTGTCTTGACTTGCCATTTTCTGTTCTGCTGGAAATATCATCATTAACCAACCATCAAGTCTGAAATACTGAACCTGTAAAATGATTGGCATTTATAAAGATAAATATTGCATGGTGACTGTTCGAATTCTTCTGCTATTACAAGAGCTATTGCAACTGCTACAGACAGTGCTATGTTGCCAGTGCTCACATTGAAGAGCACTGAATAAAGTCAAATTGGCTTATGGAATCAAAATAAATCCTCAGAACACGGATTGCAGGAAAATGAAGAAACATTTGAAGAAAATCTGAAAAGGAGTACACAAAAATTAAACTTTAAAGAAAGCCCAGTTTACTGGCATGAGTGTTTTTAAGGCACTTTTTTCAAGGTTTATTTTCCTATCTATCTGAGAAATTGTGTTTCTGCTAAAGGCGCTTTTCTGGGTCCCAGAGAACTCTTGATGCAGGCTCTGATATTGTTGTCCATCTATCTCAACTGCTCAGTTCTCCTTCTACCATTCTCAGCCGCTTGATCTTTAACATATCTTTCTTTGCCTAACAGTGTTATGAAAATTAAGTACATGTGCACAAACTATTTTGATATTGTTTTGAAAAAGATTAAAACAAATGCTGCTAAGTTTGACGGCATATAATATTTATACATATATGCATAATGTATCATTTACATTTTAAAATTTACATACTATTATTTGTATATTATTTTAACATGTGTTTTATGCAGGCAAAACAAAGTTGGTAGTAGTACCTAAAAAAAGTAACATTTTTTTTCCTGAGGAGAAAATGAAAAAAAAAAAGTTTCGTATTCTGTTGACTTAACTATTTTCTGTGTGTTTTCTCTTTATTTCTGTTTTTGTAAAAGATTTAAGCCTCTGGTGACTCAAAATGTCTGCTTTTTTATCTGTAAATTATCTAAGAGGTATTGTGTGACATACCAGACCTGCCAAAAACTCTCAAACTTCCCATAATTTGTGAGTAACCCATCGTTTGTGATGAATCCGCAAAAAATATTAACTAAATTATTAATGATGATTCAATTTCTTAAAATCAGAATGAAATATATGTCGTAACGTGTCATGGAACAAGTGGTAGTGGAGGTGAGTGACACAATTCACTTGTGTGGAAGAAATTGTAATAGATTTTATTTATATGGATAATGTTTCAAAAGATTCTATGGCAAGGTCAGTTATTATTGACTGTATGTAAATGGATGTATGGATGTTCAAGATACAGACAGAATTATCAAGGAGACCCTCCCGGTGAGTCATGGGGTTGAGATTGGATTCCTTTGCTTTCCAAACTCCTTCTGAGAGGAGTCTGGGTTTGGCTGGATCCAATCCTAGTCCCAGGCCTGGCCAACATTTTATGACTAAGGAATTTTGTGCACAGTTATGTCAGTAATTTTTACAAGTTCAAAAAGAGAGAGCTCACTATAGTCACTTACCATTGAATCTGTTAGGATCTGGCAAGGATCTCTTAACCCCAAAGAGTATCCTTGAGAAGCATCCCTGCTCAAGGGGCAATCCTGGCGTGCAGCCCACTGCCATGCAAGGAGAGCTCAATGAGCTCTTGGGCTGTCCCCATATTTATGGGATAAAATGATTGACTTATAGTCATTCATATTCATTCTTTCATTTCAGACGACTTTTGGCTGGTGTATGCACAACTAGCCTTAACTCCCTATCAGCATGGAGCCATCAGGACTGTTATTGATAGTTAATGCCTGTGTGGGGGAAGAAATTAGGGAGGCTACCACCAGGATCAGATAATATGGTGGTTAACACCTGGATAGGGCTACATGTGAAAAATCAGGTTGGGCTGGGGAAGGAGCACACTCATCACATAATGTCTCTCCTTGCAGACATCTTGCAAAGAGAGAGTAAATATGGTGATCGTGTCTTGTAAATTGTTCATCCAGCTCTAACAATCAATCACAGTTGCTGTTCATTTTGTTATTTTATTTTATTTTGTCTCTCAAATAAAGCTCATCACACCACACAATTTTAAAAAGTACACATAAAAAGAAAATGTAGTTTTGTTTATGAGAAGAGTTTACCACAGGTCCTACAATTCTGACTCCCGTTCCAGTCATTTTTCAACATATAATTTATTAGATGTCTGGATCATCTGCAAATTTAGCTATGGATTTCTGAGATTTTATGTGCTCTAAAATGGGCCTGTCAAGATTGCACACTGGCAAATTATGAGATGGTACGTCTAATACAAACCGAACTTCATAGTTTTCACAAAGGTTTATTCAGCTAAAATATACTGCTTTTCAGAGGAAAAATGATTTGGAAAACATTTCATAAAATACCAGTGTATGCTACACTTTGTTATCTGTGCCCAGATTATCCAGGTTATGAATAACCCATAGTGTGTGCTGCACCTGAGCTATTAAGCGCTTTTAGAACCATGCACACTAGGGAGAGTAGTGTACAAATATTTCAGTGGATGCTGTGTGAAGATCTTCTGGCTTAATAGAATTTATTGACTCTCAAGCTTAGAGCAATTCACACACAACTATCCTGCTTCCAGTGACAGCTAAAGTCTAGAAATCTACAGGGTATTGTTTATATTTTTCCTTATCCTTGAATGTATCTCCTCTTCAAAAGTGATCCACAGACCACAGATTTTCTGGAGAAAGTGATGATAGGTTCAAAATTCTTTTCTTTTAAAGTCTGAGTTCTGATCTGGCAAGAACTTCCTCATACTTTTCCAATTGAATGATTCATGTACTTTATATTAATATAAGCATAGACATTTGCAATGACAGAATACTAATTCCTAAAATATATTTTCACATTTGAGGTACTTAAGATATTTCTTTCATAACAGAGACAGGGGTTTGTATGTTTTTTCACTTGAGTTAATCTGTGGTTTAGACCCATGTTTCACCTCTGTGTTTTTTGAATACATTTTTGTTTAAAAAGTGTACTAAGCCATTATGGCTTATTCCATCATAATGCTATAACTTTACTAACCCAGTTAAAGATAGAATAGATAAGTGATAAAACTCATATAATAATTAAGGTAAATTTATGGTTCAGATTATTGGCATTCAATCAATAATTAATTAATGTATTAATTAGTTAAATTAATACAGAGTTAATCAACTATTCTTGAGGTGTTATGCTAAATGCTGCTTTCTGATTTAGGGTTTGAAAATGCCAAAAGGATCCTCTTTC